AGCACTCTACCAAGGGGTACAAAGTGAGATTCTGTCTTTAAAAAAAAAAGAAAAAATTCCAATAAACTTACTATGGTTCTATTTAAATAAATATAGTTTACGTAAATAACCGACTTTCCGTCTATAAGGATCTAGTTAAATAGGTAATGACCTACCCCTATGGTAGCCCACGTAGTCCGTAAGGTGACAGTCCATTCTCATGACTGATGATGGGCAGGTAGATAGAGATGTAGTGGTGGCTTTCTCTGTAGTGGAAATACACATAATAAAAAATTGTATTGATTAGTAAACATACTGGATGAAATAAGAATATGAAATCTTATTAAATACAAGAGTCATGTAAGTACTTCAAGGTTGCTGGAGTTAGTGGCTTATAAACGAGTTTGTGAATCTCATATGATGGATTAGTACCAGAAAAAAATAATTAAAATTTTTATTAGTAAGTTAATGCACTGGATGAAATAAGAATAAGAAATCTTAGTAAGTACAGGAATCACGAGAGCACTTGAGTGATGCTGTAGTTAGTGACTTATAAACTAATTTGTGAATCTCATAAGATGGATCAGCACCAGAAAAAGTAAGAGAAACATTTCAAAAATTGGTTTGGAAACTGGGAATGCAAAGTGGGGTTGTGGGGGGGGTGTCTAAGTATCAGTTTCTTATCAAAAATGATGAGAATACCTTGGGGTTCGTGAGGCGCCTCTGCTTCTTTTTAACTGAACACAACTGCGAAGAAGCTGAAGCATTCTTGTTTCTCATCCCCACGCAGGTGACATACAAATCGGGATGGAGGATAAAAAGGGCCAGTTAGAAGTCGAGGTCATCAGAGCACGAAGCCTCACGCAGAAGCCGGGCTCCAAATCGACACCCGGTAAGGAAGAGTCTGACGGCTGCAGAGTGTTAAATAGATGAGAAAACGCAAAACACGGGCTGCATGTAAATTTTATACGCTCTATTTGGCATCACCTGATTGATTAAAAAGGCGACGTGTCTGTGATCTTTTATTCCACTGAAATAGATGTGGGTTTTCCTTGCATAATTATTCTGTAAGAATGTATTAGGAATAATATTGTCACGTATAAAAAAATAGCTGGGGTTTTTTTTAATTTGTGCCAATTATTTTCTTTCTGGACATTTTTAAATGCAAAGGAAAAAAGAAGTAAGTTCTAATAATTAAAAGGAAACAGCTTTCGGACATAAATTGTAATTTAAGTCAAAGTCTTAAGATAAATGGGCATACATTTACTGGAAGTAAGTGAGGAAGACTACGGTAATGGTTATATGTGAGTTTTAAGGAGTACAATTTATGAAAGGGTGAAAATTTTAAATTGTGAAAATAGTCAATCGGAAACTTTCAGT